ACTGATGCACACGCAACACTCAGGTTCTGGAGCAGGACTGCAGTCCAGAAGTGGACGAACAACCACAACTTTACGCCACCAGAGTGTACAGCTGGTGAACGCGAAGAAGAAGAAGAATAAGCTAGAGGATAATATTCTTCTTCTCCTTCCCCCTTTCATTCTCCTTATCAATTTCGTCTTATCCCCCCCCCCTTTATAATTATCGTCACCCCTCCTTTTTCTTATTCCACTTCCTCTTTTTCCTCTTGCTATTTTCCTCCACCACTCTTCCTCCACTCTTCTTCTTCCTCCTCCTTGTTACTTTCTTCTTTTATACGTGGGGATCGATATCTTAAATTCATTATTTTACTGCATTTCAACATCCTTAAGATAACCTCCCTCGAATACTGCCTCCAAACTCTAACCGAAGATTTTTTTTTATTTTTTATTGCAACAGAAGGAGCATCATCGTCGCGTGTTACCATTAAATATCACATAGAACTTGCTTCAGTTCTATCCTGTGTACTGTTTTGGAAATCATGGATGAAATGCAGGTTAAAACTGTTGGTCTTTCTCATTCAGTTCATCGTATTTTTTTTTTTTTTTTTTTGGCGTCATCGTTTCCTTGTGGCTACGTCGATGCGAACACTTTGTAATGCGGGGGTGCCGGATTCGATCCCAGCTGCGGGCCATGCTCCTTGCGTTGGTTTCGACAGTGGTATCAGGTGGCCGACCGTCCAGTAGCAATGGCAAACTACTGGACGTAAATTTGCCTAGATAAACCAAACAACAGCCAGGGGCTGCTGAAGTTGGTTCTGCATCGTCCTGTAAAGGATACGCAACTAACCATCATTTCCTCCACCCAAATATTACTCTAATGTTTCTACCTCTAGCATGATATTAGATTGATCTGTCATTATACCATTATTATTATGTACTTGTATTCTTGTAACTGCTACCGTGAATTTAAACTTTCTATCAACGGCCAAAGTGAATTACTTTGAGATGAAATATTTCTAAACTGGATAATCAAACTCACCGACACTGGATTGCAAGATACGTAGTAACCGTTCTGTGGTGTCCTATATATAGTAGAAACGTCAACAGAGAGAGCAAACTGAAGTATCTGGAGAGTGTTGTGACGAGATGCCAAAAAGGATTTAGTGCACTTAAGACTTCTTCTTCTTCTTCTTCTTCCACCTTTTACCTCATCGAAGTGTCGGGGGAGATGTAATGTTCGTTGATGAGCTTTGTCAAGAGCACTATTACGACTGATGTTCATTTCTGTAAGGCTGTGCACTAAGACGGTGGCTGCAATTGACATAGAGCAGAGAATGCTTTTATACACTATATCAGCACCTGATCCTGTCAGTGGTTGATTATGGCCTGGGACTGCTTACCGTTTCAAAGAGTCAGATGGACAAACTAGAGCGCATACAGAACGCGACTATGCGGGTCATTCTGGGATGCACCAGAGACACACCAGTGGTGTGTATGCGATACATCCTTGGCTTGCCGACGGTTGCAGGTAGGCACAAGGTGCTACAGGCGAAGTCATATATCAGGGTGGCTGCAGACACAGACCACCCTCTGCGTGAAGCTATGTGTGCAGTTAAGGGTCAGCGGCTGATAGGAGGGAGGTCATGGATGGCTCAGGCAGAAGACACAATCAGACAGGTCTGCATCCTTGAGAACATTAGGCGGGGAGAAGAGTGGGTCAAAGTGCCACCTGAGCAGTCAGGCTTGTGTAGAGTCATAATCAGAGCCTGGAATGCAGAGACTGGCCAGCAGATGCCACAGAGGTGGAAATTCAGCAAGTAATTCAAGATAATGCTCGCTCAGAGGATTTGATCATTTACACAGACGGTTCAGTGTCAAGAGGCAAAATAAGGCTTCTTAGTAAAAGTTACTGGTCGACGTTTGTTGCAGGAAGCCTAGTATATGATACCACAACATCCAAATTAAGAATAGAGGCGGAGGCGGTCACTGCAGCTTTCCGCTGGCTAGAGGACACGACACACACACACACACACACACACACACATCTTGATTGTAACTGATTCAGAAAGCATGCTGAGGAAGATTAGAACAGGTATGCTTCGTGCAGAGTGGCATGCTTCGCTGCGGAGGACACTGGTGAGGAATATTGTCTGGATTTTTTCACCGGGGCACGCCGGTGTGTTGGGAAATGAACACGCGGACAGACTTGCTGGCTCTGCACAACTTAGTGGAAAACTGGTTCATAATAGGGCAGACGTGGTGAGTGCCTTGTGGGAGAGCGTGTTCAGTTCGGAGGAGCAGATGGATCATCAGTCTGGTGAGATTGATGCAGCGGGGAGTGACGAGAGGTTCTGGCAGATGCTCGAGGCTCAGAGGAAAGGCTAGACGGACGTTTAATAAGAATGCTACTGGCACCATTAGTATTGGAACTCTTCGTTGGCTGCTGAAGATGGGGACGGGGCGCTTATGGGAATGCCCGAGTGCTGTGATGTCGGTTCTTGAATAAAATCAAATCATGGTATCCCAATAGAACTATGTTATATGGCTGTAGGGTTCAACGGGCTTTCCCAAATTTGTAGCTGTCTGACTCTCATCCTTATATCGCTAGTCCTAGAGCTGCTATTCAGGATGGGGGCAACAATTACTGATTTGTTACCTGATCTTTAATGCTGTATTTACTAAATTCTTTTTTTTCCCTGTTTATGCCTTCAATTTTCTCCCTAGCCTTTTTCTACAGCTTCCCCCGCAGAGCGCCGCTGAGAAAAGTTATAGTTTCCTATCTATTCCTAGTTGCGTAGCTTGTGTTGACCAAGCAGATCAAACCCATCCGCAAAACTGAGTTATTCCGACTGTATGTTATACATCTATTCAGTGCCGATATTCCCTACAGTTGTTGGTTTTTTATTCCCCGCTCAAGTGATATGCGAACCGGTGTTGGGGGATTTTTGGAAATTCTTCAATTTTGACTGCAGACAGATCACTTGAACTGCGGGCACTGCTCACTTGCTTTGAAAATGGGTGATGTATTTCAAGATGTAAAATTGCGAAAAGACGATAAAGCATATTTACGAACACTTGAGATCACCAAGTGGAAAGAGAAGGCCAATCACAGAAGTAAATTGAGGTTTTGTGCTGTCAGACGCACTGAACCACTGCCGCGGAATAATAATAATAATAATAATAATAATAATAATAATAATAATAATAATAATAATAATAATAATAAATAAAAAGAAGAAGAAGAAGCAGAAGAAGAAGTATCTTTCTCGAACAGTGTAACAACCTTACACATTTTTCAAAAATAATCAGGAAATCAATAAAAACGTGATCGTTCTTTTTTCGTCGTATTATTATTATTATGCCACCCTAACAAGCAGGTAGTAGAAGCTAGATCGCATCTGTCAGAGCGGCGAGGAACCAACAATCTGCATACAAATGCACCAGATCTGTAAAACGGAAGTACGCACAAAACTCAAGTTCTGAAACAAACCCTAGTCCAGAAGTTAACGAACAACCAGAATTTAAGCTGGAGGTAACAGCCGCTGACAGCGAAGACCAAGAAGAATAAGACTGCATTTTAGAAAGTGGGGAGGAAGAGAGAGAGAGAGGTAGTAATAGTAGTAGTAGCAGCAGCAGCAGTAGTAGTAGTAGCAGCAGCAGCAGTAGTAGTAGTAGTAGTAGTAGTAGTAGTTCCTTCGAAGTCGGCGTACAGCTGCCCAAGAGGCAGGGAAATAAAAAACGGTTGTACACGCAAAAATCAGGTCCAGGTGAAGGCCAAAAGTCCAAGCGGACGATTAACCGGGACCTTCCACTGGAATTCACAGCCAGTGTTCGATTAAAAAAAAAAAAAAGTAGTAGTAGAAGTAGTAGTAGCAGCAGTAGTAGTAGTAGTAGTAGTAGTAGTAGTAGTAGTAACAATAGTAGCAGCAGCAGTAGTAGTAGTAACAGTAGTAGCAGCAGCAGCAGTAGTAGCAGCAGTAGTATTAGTAGTAGTAGTAGTAGTAGTAGTAAATGGTGGTGGTGGCGGTAGTGATGGTGGTAATTTTCACATTACAAATATTTTTTTCATCTCTCAGTTTGTAATTTGGATATAATCTGGTAACTCAATTTTCAGTGTGGTTTTACAATTTTATATATTTTTTATCATTTCTGTTATTCATGCCATTTGTACCATTGCTATTTTTTTTTCTATATTTTCCTGTTCACTCCTTTTGCATTGTGATTACAACAGATGCTGTACAAATAGAATTTATATGATCTCAATAAGATTATCTATTAAAATAGTGGATTTTTAAAAATGTCCTTTGCATAGCTCTTGATTATCCTCATTAATTTTAGCTTTTAAAGTAAATATCGTCAAAGAAAAAATGACATTTTTTTTTTCGTTATAGAAAAATGAAGTCCCAAAGTACGCTTTCCATGTCATACCCTTGACCTTTTGTTTAAGTAATCGAATACACCATTGTTTTCCCGGCCTGTAATCGAAGGCTCTAAAAGTGCAATACCAACAGGGAGGATAGGGCCACATACAAATTTAAAATGTTTCTTTGTAGAATTTCACAACAGCTTCTTGTTATTTATTATATTTTACCTGCCTTTACTGTATTTAGATCTAGGCAGCAAATCGATAAGACTGTGTGGACGTTGCTAACAATAACATAACCTTGGAAAATGCCGTGAGTATTCACGAAGGGACGTGAACGTTCGAAGAATGTTCCATGACCGTTGACCGGCCTGTTGGATCTTTCCTCTGATTAGTTTTGTTTACTTCACGCGTAGATTCGATAACAACAAGCCAGTGCCAGAAACTTCCCCGCGTTTCTCGTGCGGGCTGCTTGGCTATAAAAGCCCACGGGTTTTGCTGGGCACTAGAACATTTTACACAGCGAATTTTCAGCTAACGAGGAACGCGTTTTACTTCTCTATTCGAAGTTGATCTTTGCGTCAAGTTGACGGTCAACGAATCTTCAGATTTTTGGTTTTCTGTGGTTTGATACAAGAAGCCCAGCTGTTCATCAACGATGGCGTTATCAGCATACTACAACTACAACCCACGAGACGACTACGATCTGTTACAGCTCGTTGATGACCTGATCAGACCTTCGTATGAGTCACGACCACTGAGAGCACTGCGGAGAGCCAACGACTTGGCACAGCTGGTCAATTTGAGGGGCGATTCAGAGGTAATTTATCTGTTGTTAATCTTGCTACAAACTTTATATCAACCTTCATTTGTTGAATTTATCAATAAATTTTTAGCTGGACCTTCGCATCATTAGTTGGTGAGGCTATCCTCCGAATAACGGGCACAAAATATGGCAGCCAAAAACAGGGCCCAAGTCGCGTGTCGATTGCGCACTTCCGGCGACAACCGCCGAGAGTATCCCCCATGTGGCGGGGATTGGGGCTCACAAGCAAAGCTGCAGGAAATGCGGAAGCTGCTGCTTGTGAGTCCTAGCCATCATGGACGGGGGGGGGGGGATACTCTCGGTGGCGGTCGCCGGAAGCTCGCAATCGACACGCGACTGAGGCCCTGTTTTTGAGGCCGCCATAATATAGCCCGTCATTCGGAGGATAGCCGTTGATCATAAGCTGTCTGTGACAGTGGTCAGCCTCTTTGCCACCTGCTGTGAAGGTTAGGGGGTTTGTTTTTAAGGTTGTGCATTCAGTTCATGAGGGCAACTGTCATGGAGATTCCTTGGAATTGTTGCTGGAGCTATGAAGTTTGTGCTTTGTGCTGTGATTTCTGCAGGTGGCTTGCCGTTCTGCGGAGCCACAGTAATTTGTTTCTGAGCGTAGACACATTAAACGTTTGTATAAAGTAAAGAAAATTACTTTTCACTACAGGACCTTCCTGATGCTATTGGCTTATCCGGTATATTGTAACAGACCCAGTAACATTCCATGTTCATATGTCATCACTTTTCTTCCTGGTACCCTTTTCAGGCAGGTTACACTGGGAGCATAGATCATTTTATTTGAAGAAAAAAATTTGGATTTGCATCTAGGACCTTTGGGACACGAGTATCCAAGGTTGTGACACAGCCGCTCATGGTAAAGGTTAAAGTTGGAAGGATAACCAAGCCCTATCCCATGTTGCTTGGGCTCTCTCTCGGGTACGATGGCCACCTGCCTAGAGGGTTGCCCAAAATATAAAACTTTGTAGCTGTGGCCGCAGTCTTGTTTTCTGTGAAACAAACCTACGGCCTTCAGAGTGTGAGGCTTGACCACTTCGCCATAGACTAGAGACCACACTGGCCATCGGTGACTGAGTATAATTTCCTTCTGCCCTTGTGCATTTAAGGTGGTGGTGGATAGAGCCACTGCTTTACTGCCTAACAAGGTAGCTAATTAATGGTGTTATATTTAGAGTTCATATTCCTGAAAGGTGAGCAACCAAACGATCTGCTTTAAAAAAAAAAAACGGATCTTAAAAATGGATGTGCATGCAAAACTTACATTTTGGAGCCATAAGTGGACGAACGACCATAACTTTTCATCAGGTTGAACCTTGCTTTTTGGAACAAGACCAAAGTGCAGAAGGGGATGAATGACCATAACTTTTTCATCAGGTGTTTACAGCATACTATCACCTCATTTGTTTTAATTATGCAAGGATTATAGAATGAGATCATGGATATGTATGTCAGGAATTGTGGTTGGTGGGTATAACATAAACTTAACCTACGTTAATGCTGACACTGTCTTGGTAGTGACAAGTCGGAAAGAACTACAGGAATTGATAGATGCGGTGGTGGTAGAGAATGGAAAGACAGAAGTTCAAGAAAAGGATAGTGCTTAAATGTGAACTTCGGCGACTATACCGCGCCGCTTACGCGGCATTGATACTCTCAGCGGTGGTGGTATAGTCGCCGAAGTGCACAATTTAAGTTGCCGGAAGTGCGCAATTGATACGTGACTGAGGCCCCGTTAGCGTACATTTTCTGCCTCAATAATTTAGAACCGTTATTCGGAGGATAGCCGTAAATAATGTAAAGCAGCAAGGATAGGAATTCTATGTATGAACAGAGGCTGAGAGAGAAATGAACAGAGGCTGAGAGAGAAATGAACAGAGGCTGAGAGAGAAATGAACAGAGGCTGAGAGAGAAATGAACAGAGGCTGAGAGAAAAATATTGTGACTTACTTTTAGCAGATTAGTTCTTGAAATGGCAAACAAGTTTTCTAAATGTCAAACATTCACATTGCAGGTGCGGGAGACAGACAAGGAATTTTGTATTGAAGTAGATCTTAGTAGTTTCAATCCAGAAGAAGTGAATATAACTACTAATGACAAGGAGGTGTGTATCAATGCCAAACATGAGGAAAGACCAGACAAACATGGCTACGTATGTCGGTCAATGACTCGCAAATACACGTTGCCACCAGTAAGTTTGCTTGAGTGTTTGTTGTATGCTAATCTGGGTTATTGTGAAGTATGTAATTCTTTAATGACCATTAACAATCTCTGAATCATCTTGTCCATTATCTGCTGCAGTTCACCCATTTATGCTCCTATTTTTTTTTTCATTTGTGAGCACCTCCTTTATCTGTATTTTATTATATTTGCATTTGTGAATTCCAGTTTAAGGGTTATCTCTCTGATGCCAGTATCTTTTCCTCATCTCTCAATTGCCTGGAATTTTAGTAGTCTCCCTCTTAGTTGGCATTAGAGATTAGTGAACAGGTCAGACAGATCTAAACATAGCAATAGAGTGCAAAGGCATTAAACAGGCATCTGAGTTTAAATATCTGGGAACTACATTTACCGAAGATGGGAAATTGGATAAAGAAATTAACATTAGATGCAGTAAAGCAAACCAAGTATTGGGACAGCTATCCCCCCTCTTACAGCATAAGACAATCCCAATCGGCACAAAGAGACATCTTATTCAAAGCATATTTATTCCAACTCTGTGCTACCAGTGCCAGACATGGTCACTCACAACAAACCATAAAAGAAAATTAGTAACCATGGAAATAATGTCTGAGAAGGACTGTAGGAGTGACCATAAGAGATAAGATCAGGAATAAGATCATAAGAGAAAAAATCGGCACAGAACCAATTCTGGATTACATACAAAGACAGCAAGTAAAATGGTTTGCCCACTTACAGAGTATGCTATGTGACACCATACCATACAAAGCATACATGGAAAGAGAAGGACATAGAGCACGAGGTAGACCAAAAACAATATGGAAGGATAACATCAGAGAAACTCTACAACAGCATGATGTGCCTATGGTCGAGGTGGCCAGAAGAGGTAGAAACAGAACCTTATCTCCCTAGACACCCACGGCGGTAAAAGAGGAAGTGAAGAAGAAGAACCAGTCATGCTGATTTAATTCATTCTTTTTCTTCAAAGGCAGAAGTGTAAATTTATTTTTATTGATTTGTTTGGTCTCCCTATTGCAGGACTAGCTACGTAGATATGTACAGTGTGCATTATTAATGTTGTTAGATAATTGCATTGCATAACCTGAATCCTGTGTGTGTCACTGCAGATGTAATGTTCTGGGTCACATTCTCACATTTCTCTGTCGACAGATTATACTATAAGCCAGTTGGCGGTCAATCAATGATGAATTTAACATTTGACTACTACCTACCCAGAACATTTTGTGGTATCGAAGATGGTTTGATCCACACACGTGCGTGCGTGCGCACACACAAAATTGGGGAGATAAAAAACTGACAGACGATCTGACCATCAGTAGAACTATTCTTTTCCTGCTGCAGCTGTTGCATGCTGTCAAGTTAGCACCATCTCGGGCATGGAGATCGAGTAACACTAGTTTCTAGTTATCTAAACCTTTTGTGGAGCACCACGGGCTCCCACCAAAATGTGTCAAACTTATATGGCCAACTTTTTTGTATTAAAATCAAGTTTATATTATGTTAAGATTCATCTTTAACTGCCAAATGGGTCGGACTGCAATCAATAACCAGTCGGCAGCAGGCTTGCTGATTATCTCCATGTTGCCATTTATGCGAGTTTTGTTTCAGTGCAGCAATATTTTCAGCGTTGGGGAAAAAAACCTTCCACGATGAAGGCATGAATTTAGTTAGGGACTTGTTGCCATAACTGGTGTCTAATATGCTTCTTGGACGCTTAGCTTTCGTAATCATTTTTCCTTGTAAGTAGTTGGCATTTCTGGTCTGTTCTTTTCTCTCTGTGCTATGGTTAACCCAATTGCTTCTACTCTGAAACTTTCAGCATTCCTTTCGACCTTAGAGTTCAACACTCTCGACCGTTGTGTGCTATCATCATCCCTCTCTCTAGCACAGTGTAACACTCACCTGGAAAGTTGAGCAAGTTTCTGGGAACTTTAAGCATTTTAGAAAGAAAATTAACAGTGGACATAATCTGTGAACCTCGAGAGCTCTGAAGATTGCCAATGTCAGAAAGAAGCAAAAAGCCTGTGTATTATTTGATAATAGCGCTCTAACCACTTTGATTTGTTCCGCAGGGTGTTGATCCAAAGTCATTTTGCTCCACTATGAACAACCGCGGCATCCTTCGCATGACAGCAAGTAAGGACGCAGCATCGGCACTTCCCAGAGAGGTCCCAATCGCTGTGGAATACAAGGGCTCCTAGATTTTTCCTGTCTTACATACTGCAGGCACTGATGTGGTTTTGTCATTTTTGCAGATCACTGTGTGTGGTAGTGACACATACCCCTTTATTTCCATTTTCCTTTAATGTTCATGTCATTTATTCTACAAAGTGACCATGCAGTAATGTTGGCTTTAAAAATCATTACCAATGCTTTATGAATTCTTTAGATATATCATTGATGGGAAAGATTTCCTGTTAACTTTTTTTTTTTTTTGCATTTTTAAAAAAAAAATTTTGTTAGTACTGTTTAGTGCTTCACCGACTGGATGTAAAACTTAAATACATTGTGGGACAAAGGGTTTCCCTGTGTATGTGCACTGAATGTAAATTTAAAAAAAAAATTGGGACAGATGGTTGCCCTGCGTGCACTGGTAGAGTAATTAGTGAATGATTACATGCATAGGCCTGAAGTAGTGGTATGAGCCACCTGTAGATGTGCACATATCACTATGACCTTAAACAACTGTTAAAGATCCTTTTCTAAATTTATGAAAAGATGCATTTTGATGTAGTCAGGAGTTTCATGTTTCATAATATATTTTACATTACTCAGAAATGTTTCCTTGTAGTTCCTGAAATTTTGCCATTTTCTGTTAGTTCTAGCTTACATGTTTTATTGTTGGTTAACATTTTCAAGTTAAAGCATCTTTTATAAGTTGCTACTTATAAAATGTAGCCTGTTATCCCCCTTGGCATTTAGGCATATACAATGAACCTTAAGATGGATTGTCACTACTAAGTTCTTTATGATGTCCAGCATATCAGATTGCTCTGTAGTTTTTTGGTTTCCATTTGTTTTGCTCCAGCTCACTGGGTGGATTATTTGCTGTTGATTTTATTCAAGTATTTTTGAAAATAAATGTTTGTAATCTCGCTGATAGGGTTTTTTTTTTTTTTTAAAATATGCTTTCGTATTTGCCCCATATCAGGCAGGTTTTTTTTCTGAGCTGAAGTGCTTGTTGAATGTGGGGTTTGAATGTTGGGTGAAGGTTGAAGGTTAAGGGCAAAATCTTCGGCTAAGGCATTCATGGTGAATGAATCAAATTCATTCATTAATGATATGCAAAAACGAACAAGAAAATTTGATTATAATCTGGGGGGGGGGGGGGGGGGGGGGGGGACATTGCTACCAACAACAAAGTTGTTTTTGCACAATTTATGTGGCATCATATCTATCCAAACTTTTGTCTCGAACTTATCATTTATGGCACAGATGATCTTCCATACCATAATGTGAAAAACTGTCTAGATATGTCTGACAGGGAAGTCAAGCAAATTTATGTTAATGCTGAGTGGTACGCTTCCCTTCCTTTCCTAAACAGGTCAAGACAGACAGACAGACACACACGCACGCACGCACGCACGCACGCACGCACGCACGTGCGCGCTTGCATACGTGCTCACACATAACACGCATGCGCGCATGTGTGTACGCACACTGAAAATCAATTTTCCTTGTGAATTTGCTTAACCGTCACTATTTTACCCATCAATTTCTGTTATCTTGTCCGTTGTCCTAAAAAATGCTCAATGATGAAATAGTTTCTAGAGTAATTTAACCCTTCTAGGGTTGCACATTGAGCGACTGACTGACTGGCTTTCTACCCCACCTGGACATCACACAAGCAACAAACACCTGATGACCAGGGTTGCCAGATAAAAAAAAAAAAATTCATTTTATGCCAAACCATCACCCAAAATATGCCAGAAAATTGCCAAATAAAGTGTAACATTGTACTCTCTTCACATCAAAAGCTCTAGATTGAATTCTTCACTGTCATCCTCACTGGAACCAGTGGAAGATGCAAGCCTTTTCGGATGTAAAATTTTTAAGCATTTTCTTAGATGGAATGAAGTCTTTGCAACATTTCTTTGATGTCAATAGTTCTGCTCTAATTCTGACAGCTGCATCAAGAAAATCCAGTTGTATTTTTGTTTCTTGCTTTTGATTTAGCTGAAATAACAAGAGAGAATATTCTCTAAGCTACAGCATTGCTGACTGGCATTATGAAGCAAGTAAGGGCGAAAGTGGCCAACTCTTTATGCCTGGTGTCAAAGTAGCCTATCCAAAAATCTTCCCTGTTTGTAGGTAGTCCATCCTTCCTAAATGTAGCTTCTTCTTTCCAGTTGACAATCAGTTTTTTTTTTACTGTTCTCTATAATACTGTTTTATGCCAGGTGTAGAAATGGTAGCTCTAAAAACTGTGTCCTTGATATTTGATTTAAAACTGCCAAAGGGCTCAATTTTGACAAGATTTTGAAATATATTCTTCTGCGGAAAGTCTACACGTAATTTGAGTTTTTCCTCTAGCACAGACGCGCATCTTTCATTAACATTGTTTATTTCTATCTGACCTTCAGTCCCATTATTCTTCTCTAGGAACACATTACATTCAGTTAGGAATTTAATACCAAAGTCAATGTGAATTTCTTTTTCCTGCTCATTGACGTCAAACAGTCTGTTCTTAAAACTTTTCTGGTGCATGGACAATTCTTGTAGTTCATGAGGATCAGCTTTTGTTTGTTGAAAAGACTGTTCAGTCTTTCAAATTCTCGTAAAATTGGTGTCGCAAACACAAAGTACAAATTATTATTGGGATCTAACAGCATTTCCTTTAACAATCTTACTTTATATTTTGTGTCAAATGCTGTCTGTGCTAATTCAGCACATGTGAAATGAGCTTTCAGTTCTTCCCGGTTGGTAATGTATTGAACATAATCTTTCCACACACAAGCTACCTAGTAGATGACAGTTTCTCAAATGGAAGAGGAGCAGTTTGTTCCAATTCAAACTCCATAGATGTGTTCATCACTCTAAACAGTTCTGTATAGGCTTCTCGTCTTAAACCACTGACGAAACCACGGACGTATTTCTGACAGTAAGAAACCAATATTTGATGGCAGCTTGGCAATTGCACTACAAATGCAGAGTGCTAGTGAATGGCAGACACATCTGAGCTGTACACAAAAAGGAGACACATCTTTAATTCTGGACCATACAGAGTTCTTGCACCTGACCATGTTTGAAGCGCCATCTGACGCAAACCCAATGCAATTTGTAAGACTCTGGCCACACTTTTTGATTTCCTTATCAATCAAACAAGTTTTCTCCTGTAGCCACTTGCAATGAAATTAAAGTAAGAAATCCAGTAAAATATTTCATTTGTCCTGTCACTGACAAAAACTAACTAAAATGCACAATGGTGTTATTTTAGGACAAGATCAGAAATTTAAGTATTTGGGCACATGGATAACATCAGATGGAAGATGCATGACTGAGATAAGAAATAGAATAGGACAGGCAAAAACTGCATTTTATAAAATGAAAAACATCTTGTGCATATATTCTTGTCATTGAGAGTTTGAAAAAAAAATTATTGCTTGCTACATACATCCAGTTTTAACAAATGGCTGTGAATCCTGGACAATCGGTAGGCAGGCCAAACAATTTCTGGAGGCCTCGGAGATGTGGTTTTACAGAAGAATGCTTAGAATACCTTAGACAGCCAAAAAGAGCAACCAAGAGGTTTTAAAAGAGGCGAGAGCCTGAAAACAACTTATCACAGACATCAGAAGGACACGGTCATCATTTTTCGGCTATGTTATGAGAAGAGGGAAAATAGAACATGTAACCACTGGAAAGATCTGTGGAAGAAGAGAGAGAGGAAGACAACGAGAGAAGAAGAAGATGCTTGACGGTCTTGTTGCATGGCAAGGAGGTGTGTCCGCACACAAACTGATACATGCTGCAGGAGATCGATCGATCGCCCACGCCAGTCGGGCAAGGCACCTGATGATGGAGAGGCACAAGTACTTTGAGTGGAAACCAGTAGACTCATCTATAATGCATAGTTCCGAAAATCAAGGGTCATCCTTAATGCAGGCGATATAATATTTATTATAAAGCATAAACATTTATTTAGTTCTATGCATCTGTAAGTGTACTTCCCTGACCAATGTACTTAAATGAGTGGCACAAAGGGCAGTCATGCATAGCAAGTTGTAACTACTGCTTCAACTTATCATTACATTGTCTAGGAGTTATTGTTGTAATAATAAGCTGTGACTGGCTTTTGACGGAGTTTTCATCCTGTTTTTTTCCGAAATGCTACTAAATCTTGGTGCAACAGTGCACGACACAGTTTACAATATGCTGCCTCTGATCCGTCTGAAGATCTTTTGGTCATTTTGTTTTCCTACTAATACTATTATACTTGCGATTGCTGTCATATTTCAATTTTTGGTGGAAAGCAAAAACTATCACAGATTTAACTAGGTCTATATCTTATCTATTTTCTGTCAAGTAGTTTCTGAACAGTCTGAATCACTTGGTATCAGTGGTGGGTTTTCGTTTTATATCTCGCATTTATTCTAGTAGGATATGGCAGTCACGATCCGTTTAGGAAAACAAAACGAAAAGAAAATGGCGCGAATCTTCGTCTCACCAGGACATCACAACTCAAACTGAAATAAAGATTTTAACTGTAGGTCTACATTGCTCAATTGGGTGTTCTAACAGAGGAACCATGAAGAAAATGCACATCTTGATAAGAAATGCCAGGAAAAAACCCCAAATATGCCAGTTCATGCCAGTTCAATTTCAAAGCAAGTTGTGATGACTGCCACCATGTGGGCTCCCAGACTGCGTTCAGACAATTGGCATTCTATCTCCCTATATTGCATGATACCTATTGAGTGGACTGACTGACTTTCTCCCACTAGGACATCAACAAGCGATTCATGACACAAATTGCCACCATGGGGATGATGATCGCCGTGGAGAGGGTATGGAAACCTGTTCATTTGGCCATATGTGGCCTGCCCCTGGCAGAAGCCAGAGTATGGCTTCAAATGACAAAAAATTTCGTCCCGAAAAAACGAAATTGAGAAGACATGAGCAAGGTTGGTTGGTGGTTTTTTTACCCCACCAGGACATCACACAAGCGATAAACACCCGATACACAAAGTGCCCCATGCGG